ATTGGTTAAGGCTCGAAATCACTGACAGTGTTTCGAATGTAGCCTCGAGATATCGGCCAGACTTGGTGATCCGACAATCGCTCAGCCCTTGTTCTTTCCCCGGGCAGTATGAAGGGTGCGTACACGAACGTAGCTGCAGCTGAATTACTAATAAAATCAATATGCACCCTATATAAAACTCCCATTTTGTCACTTTGAATTTCGCCAGATTATTTTCAACTTTAGTGCTGGGAGGATTGGACATGTGAACGTAAGTGAACACGGCACCGCAAACTGATGTGTCCACTTCTTACATGAAGTCGTGAAAATCAACGCACATAGAGCGGTGTCGCCTCCAGACGCCCACAATTCAAAATGCTCACCAAGTTGATGTGATGAGTGATGATGTGATCAGTCACTGAACAACATGATACAAATGGTCGATGATATACTGGTTAGCAAAACTTTGTACCGCAGTGCTATTAGGTTTGTTGTGGATAGCTTTGTCGCAGTATCAAAACACGTGTGTAAGGCAAAGTCCGATTTAGAAAAGGCGCACAGTATAAAATTCCGGGCAGATGGAGCCTCAAATAAGACTGAAAATGATGTGTCGTTGTCTACTTCTCATTGCGTTCTTGTACTGCGTCGACAATGTTGCATGGGTGAAAGCCGGCGATGTCCACAATTGGTCATTGATATTTAACAAAACGCCGTCAAAAAACTGGGCCGTAATTGTCGCTGGTTCTAACACCTGGATGAATTATCGACATCAAGTGTGTTTCAGTTGGTGTTTTTATTGTTTTGATCCCCATTTGTTTCTAAATTCCGCATGAAATGTTTTCGAATGGGAAATGTGCACTAACGGACCCACAAACACTTGTGTTCTACCTGCATATCTAAGTCGCTGTGACAATTAACGGAAACGGACGGTTGATCAAATCCACAAGTAACGGGTAAACGTTGCTTGGCCTGTGTTTGTTTCCGAAAGCGTTTTCTTGTATTGCTACGATATTCCATTTGGCGTGGGGTCGATTTCATGGACCTGTTGAACTCAGATGGTACTGAAGTGCATACCATGTTACAACTTAGTCACCCATAAGCTGCGTTTCCTTGTCTTGCTACGATATTCCATTTCGCGTGGGGTCGATTTCATGAACTTGTTGAACTCAGATGGTACTGAAGTAAATACCATGTTACAACTTAGTCACCCATAAGTGTTTTATGTTGCGTTATGTTTGTTGAAATCACTGGCTGTAAGGATAAGGTATGTTCTTGCTTAAAGCATGAAAATTCATAGAAACAAATGATTTTTAAGTCACCACTAATAATCTAAACATGCTTTGTAGCGTTATCGTATTAGAAAGGCGTTCCTAGACTGCGCAGTACCGTCACCCAGAGTGATCTGACTAAGAATCCAAGTCCCAGAAATCTCAAGAAAACCACTCACGTTTCACCGACGTTAGTTGTTACGCCAGGCGGATCGATTTCAGAAGCACCGGAAATGCCATGCTATATGAGGAAATAACCCTCCAATACTTTGTAAGATCAAATAGTGTTTAATTGAAATAAACACATAGAACACCCCTGTGATTGAATTCACCCGCTCATTCATGCCGTATTTGCATAGGGCTATTTGAAAATCGTATGCGAAACGGTTACGCATATTGGATGTGCCTCTATCCAAGGGTTATTGCGTGCGCATGTCATCGTTCTCACACTTGAAGAATTTGAAGCTGCGGTACACACAAACCCTGGAAGCCTGAATTCCAGCTACATGTACCTAGGCCCTGTCTTTGAATCCCCTCGTAAAACGACATACGGAGGCACACGAAACATTCTTGTCACAAGAGAAGTCAAGCTAATGCATCGGTGATTGTTAAATTCACTAAGGGCCTCATCGAATCAACTCAGATTGTTGAGATTGTTTCTACACTGCCCACGAAAAGAAATCAGTTTGACAAACATGGACAACCTATTTCACCACAGGGTCGATGGGAGTGATTTCAAGGTGATTGATAAAGGTTGAAGTAGAAAATGCAAACAATTATTTCTAAAGTCTTCGGAGGTTACACGGTCACCGTCATGACTGCATTTCAGAAACCACAGTTACTCAGTCGATTGCGTGCCTCATGGGGGCATCTTCGTGCCCGTTGCGTGTATAAGCTGGCACAGGAAAAGCATAACACAAGAGGATCTTTCTTCCTCCACACTTCCAGTCCACAAAGATTCTCAACCCATGTAGGTGTTGTGTTCTTGCCAGATGTTTGACTCTTCGTTGAATGATATTTTGCTCTGTGCCGAGCAGAAAACTTGTCCAAGTGTCGAAAGAATTTCGAGCTTTGCACGAGTTCAGTAGGTGCATTTACTTTGATGCACCATTCCACAAGCGTGGCGATCAGTAACTTGCAGACAACACGTTCTAGTAGATAACATCAGACGTCGGCTTTTCCGGAAGGCACGTCAACATGGGTTCTGGTAGCCCTGTTTAACATTAGGCTTCAAAGTCTTCTCAACGGTCAGCTGCGGTGTATTACTCATTTAAGTACAGAAGTCGTGGAACTTTAATCAGCGCCGAAAATGGCTTTGATTTGGGTTTACACAGATGCTGCATTACGAGCGACGCCACGTTTGGCCAAAGTCGATGTGGCATGTCTGTTCTAACGGTTGGTTTTGAAAAGGGGCCTCAAACGGCGAGACGAGTTCCATTTTTCCGGAAGCTACTACCGCCTGTCTTCAACATGTAACTAATTCAGACGTCCACCGTGGTCCGTGCATTTCAACTTTGGTTCTGAATCCACCAAAATTAATGGCAGAGGCGCTGCTTCTGCCTACTTGTTCAATAATATCTTCGACAACCACAATAGCATACGGCATTTTTCTGGTTATTCTCCAAGGTTTGCAAAAGGTCTACCATCACTGCGTTAGACATAGAACAATACCAGCCCCAGTATAACAGGCAGAAGAAGCTGCCGGACTACCAAAGGAACGCAATGGGGAACTCATGGGGAAACTCATGGGGAAACTCGTGAAGATATCAGTACAGCAACCATGATGGGATTTTAATAAACATTTCGGTAAAACGACAATTATGCCCAGCGAACGAGTATGCTGCGCAGCTTATTTCAGTGAGCAAACTTTAAGGATGGGCAAACAAACTGAAGAATTATTTCAGATCGTGTGCAGCTTGCTAGCTTAATCATCCCGCGGTGTACAGCAGACAAGGCAACCGAGTTGATGGTATTAATTGCGACCGATATGACGTGAGACCACTGGTAACGTGAAGCACATTAGTAGAAATTGTGCTGTGATACTACTAGTGTAATGAGGAATGCCTTTCACCGAGAAGTTGCTTATCCCCAAACACCAAATAAGCAGCTAAAACCTGTTGAACCGAAAATAAACATCTCAATTGGTGATAATTTTCGGAAAGCAAAAATTCTCGACGGCATTAGGATAGTCAAAATTTAGCTATTATAAAACGACACCTTAAAGAAGTTGCACAATGTGGGTTGTAAAATTCACCTTCTATAGGACAGGGCGTGGAGCTACGAGAGGTCCAATAACTACTCACATGCCCAGTCAGTAGTAGCCGCCGTTACATTTATAATAGGTCATCTCTTGCCATCGATTAAGGCCTTCATTTTAAAAGCCAAGCTGCACTAGTGGATTTTCCGACTGGTGGTGGATTTCGGAGTCAGTCCGAAGCGAATTGCAGCCCCGGCATGGATGATATCCACCAGTCACCAATCTGGAATGAAAGGCTCGATGACTGTCGCATATACACTACTCAGCGCACAAACCGTCAGCAGTCTGTGAGGACTAATCTCTCTCTGAAAGACCCAGATACAACGTATTTTCAGTTTGAGTCTCAATAATGACATCAGGCGAACAGGAACACCGTTTGAGCTTCTGTTCTGAGTTCGTTTATTCTAGAAGAGTCGTGGATGAAAGATCTTCCAAGATTAAGTGGGTCATCCTTGGTCATCAGGATGATCGCATTTCCAAGTTAGACACAATTGGTTAGGAAATGACCAACCTCCGTCACCTAGCCAAAGAGGCAACAGGGGTCACATACTTCAGGAATGAAAAGCAAAGGCCGAGTAGGTCTCAAAATTGAACCCTCCTCATTCCTCTCTCAACCAACCTGGTAAACGTATAACGATTTGTAGAAGTCGTTATGTTCAAATTATCGATCGATAAAGGTCAGGCCGAACGATGTGAAACCCGATGCAAAATCTCATGATCAACAATTATCACTTTTTCACACATTACACATTGATGTGACGAATGGTGATGGATATTGAAGGCCGTGGAAAAGATTTAGCTATTGATGTGTAACGCTTCGAAACATTTGGGACATTCGCTTCTGGAAGAATCAGCAGTGCACTTTCGGGATGGAATTTTGCACTGAGATCACACCATTTTTATGCAAAATTCCACCTAGTTTATTTGTTATTCAAAAGGGGTTTGAAAGACAGCTTTGAGGGATTGTCACGGAAGCATTCTATGGGGGCTGATTTGCTAGCCATGTTTGTAAATTGTCTGATGTGATGGTGTTGGAAGAAACTGATAAGCCCAGTGCAGCGCAAAAGTACTGCCACCACATATCAGTTGTGATTGCCGGGAAGTATCGGGTTCTAAACTTTTCGGAGAAGCATGAAGTACGCTTTAGAGACAATTCTCAATAAGGATGCATTAATTGCATAGTCAAACTGGACGTCTTGTCAAGGCTTTGCCTCAGATGAAAGATAAAATCTCGATTAAAAATCCCAAACAATGGATTTCCGCTGCGCAACAGCCAAATATCTGTCTAGTTATTTCCGTGCCCGAATTCAAGCGACCGTTTAACAGAAACACAAGTAGGTAAGATAAATTCAAATTATTGACCCGGAGTAATGCATTCATATGCTTTTGAAAGAACTGGTACTCCACCAAGTATGCATGCTGCTTGCCTTCTTTAGCCTGTGTGCAACACTTTGCATAGTATCTCCAACTTGACTGTCATTTGTGTTTCTCTTCAGGCGAACGTTTTTCACACCTACCACCTCTTGCGTGCAAACAAACTTCCAGCGGAGAACATAATTACCTTCGCCGATATTGCAAACAATCCCGAGTAAATATCACGTGCAATGTTTGTCATCTTATAGTAACCAGACCGTAAAACTCGCTATTCTCTTTCTGGCTTCAATTTGTCTCATTTTTTGCGCCATAATTCGCATGGATATAAATCCTAAATGAAATTGGGTTGGAGAAAACCCGTGTTTTTGTGAGTCGCTCGATGTATACCATAAACCTTCTAGCTTTCCATGGCATTTAATGATATTAAACGCCATATAACCCTGGCACCATCAACACAGCGATACCAGATCAGATTGCAAACATCATGGTGTATCGTGGCTGATGAATAGTAAATTTTCGATTGTCAGTAGTCTGAAATTAACAACGTCGATATCAAAATGTTGTTCGAGTATATTAACGGGCTGTATATTTAAGTGAACCCTACCATAAACCTTCTACCTTTCCATGGCATTTAATGACATCAAACGCCATATAACCCTGACACCATCAACACAGCGACACCAGATCAGATTGCAAACATCATGGTGTATCGTGGCTGGTGAATAGCAAATTTTCGATTGTCAGTAGTCTGAAATTAACAACATCGATATCAAAATGTTGTTCGAGTATAATAACGGGCTGTATATTTAAGTTAACCTACTATCTTTTCGAAAAAACAATGTATTGTTCTACGCTGTCTACCTACCTGGATCATTATAAGTTCTATATACCAGTATTGCGATGAAGATCGTTTGTGTAGACTTTATCGAAAATGTGACACAAGGTGCACCCATCGTCGAGAAAGATTTTTCAAAAACCAGATCGGGAGCAAACTTCCACAAGAATTTCATTTTCTTATATTTCTTTTTTTCGGACAGCAGGTAATCCTTTTTCCAAGAAGCTTACTTCACCTTCTCATTGTTTTATTTCAGAAATCCTTTTCCAGGCCAAGTGTTTCATGATACTGAGCACGAAAATATTTATAAGGGCGTGGAGATTGACTACCGTGGAGAAGTATGTCCGTGCGCAGAAACTAAATGAATTTGTTCACTATGTGACACATGGTGCAAGTCACATGACGCTGCGTAGAAAAACACAATAGTAGTCGTAGAACAGACTAACCAAATTTATTGCCTTCTAGAACCGTAAATTTACCTGACCAAACACTAGTCATACGGTGACAGAAAACTCTCAAGCAGCCCACGACCGAGTTCACACTTCTCCTTGCGGCCTAGCGAGTAAGCCTCCAGTGTATTAACGGTATTCTCACAGCTTGGTTTTCGATCTGAACCTTCGAAGCTAGCGTTTTAGTCAAAAGAAAAACGCGTATCACTGCTCGCACCAATATGCAGAGCTTCGTTCATGAAGTGTATGCGTCAACTATTGTATCGAAATTGTGGCGCCTGCTAGATTCGTCATTAGCACACAGCATTCGATGGACACGGAATCAGGATTGGCTAATGGTTTCAATCAGATTTCGTCTTGGCAACCTGCCTGATAAAAATGTCATTCTCCGCAATCACACCAACAATCAATTTTTATGTTCTCATCATTCAGCGACCGTCACGAATGTAATATGAGTGAAGATGGACAGTAGCTACAAGATTCTCTTGCTTTGCTAGAATGTAAATGAATTGCTATTGCGAGTCGAATATGTGTGAAGAACACACAATGTTATACTTATTATTCTTGCGTACTTGTTTCAGGAAGTCAACTCGGAAATCTTCGCGAAAGTATTGGAAGGCGATACGGAACTTGAAAAACAAGGGAAGAAGGTGTTGAAAAGGTGAGGTCAAGCGGAAGTAGACGTTATTGATGCACTTGCTGATCACAGCCAGAATTCTAGTGTTGCAAGTCAGCGTTTTCGGATTTGCGAAACGCGTGGTTAATAATCTCGTATGCCACGTGGCACATAATCCCCTTAAGTAAAGCTCCCTGCAGGCAGTCGAAAAGATTTGCTTCACTCCAAGAGAAACCCGGTTTATCAAATCTAGTCCATGGGTTATTAATATATCATAGGCGTCAATCGCTTCTTCCAAAAAGTTTGGAAATTATTTAGAAATGCATGGTTGTGAATGGTCAAATAGCCGTTCGGACTTATCCAATTTGGGGTCGGTTGATCTTGGTTTACTCGCATTGAGGATTTGGTTTTACTCAATGCGTTGTCTCGACCATGAGTAACGGATGGTCAAAATCCAAGTTCATTTGCAGTGCTGTCGATTGGCTGAATAGTAGTCCCTCAAATCCGTATCGCCATCCACCGATAACGCTCTCAGCTTCTGGAAAACCTACCTCGCCTTAGGTTCCACGTGGAATGGTATCGTCACAGTTCATCCTTCCTGAATCTTTCCACCAATCACCGACCCGCATATGACGAGAAGTGAAGCGTCCGCTTACAGATGCAAACCAGGAAACCAGGAAATATTTTATCCCCCTACAAATCATTAATCTCTAATTTGGCTAGTTATATATCCTGTGCACTCGAAATGGTGGTCCAGGTTACAACACAACGGGAAATCAGAACGAATCAACCAAGATGAAATACTAACCGCAGAAGTCAGATTGAGAGCCAAAGTAAATGTACGGGAGGAGAGCGTGTCGTGGGTGTAATCGATAACCGATCAATCAGACCATGAACAAATGGTGCTGAGACAGAAAACACTTGAGTTCAGGGAATGAAGACCATTTCCAGCAACTACGTTTTGAGACGGAATATGTTGTTGGGCCTATTCTGGGAATACAGCGGACAGATGAGCACTCTCTTGATCAACGCATATTATCAGACAGTTTGGGAAGAACTGTCGGCCTGGTCATTCACTCACGATGTCACTTCGGTTGGGGACGGAACATTTGCAAACCGATCACTAGGATCAGAGTACACCTGGACATATGGCTTCGTGGATGTCCTTGTTTGAACTGTAGGTTCGTCTCACCTTGAGCACATTATTTTTTCTCAGTAGTGAAAGCAACATGGGAATATTTTCTTAGACAGATTAACTTGTGCTACCTAGAGCGTGAGTTGGAAAAGCTGAGTGTCATCGCTCCAACGACGAGATAATAAAACTAGCTAGAGTGGAATACTGGCTCTAAACAACTTCATATAGTAAAAGCCCAAAGAGCTGCCATATCTCGTGAAACAACAGCAAACCAACAGGCGTCCGAAAAATCCACATTCTATTCCCATTTTCATGTGGCCCTGCAAATAGCAAACTGATGGAAGTTAATTCAGCTACAGATTACAGCCAGTAGTGTGTACCAAATCATATTCTGACCCGCCTGCGCGTTGTCTATTTACGTCATATGCGTCAGATGCTCAATGGATAAGCGGCACATTAATTGTGCGGATAGATGACTAAAGGTGAACATTTTTTCTGCACACCATAATCGTGTGCCCAGGACAGAAAGGAACGGTGGAATTTTTATACCCTTCTGATTTCCTACATGATCAGTTAATCATGCGCGAGAGCCCCACCAGATCTGCTACATTATAAGACCACTTTTACTTTCCCGTTGACTTGCAGTGGTCCAGGAGAAAATGTTTTCATCTATTACTCTGGCCATGGTACAATTGGATATATTTCTTTCTCAAACGGAAAAGTGAGTTCCGATGACGTTTGTAACCACGGTTATTTTCGAAAGGAGGTTAAATTGAGAACGGAGTGATAAGGCGCATTGCCTCCCGTGTTTCTTTATAAAACAGAGTTTATAGTTACAACTGACCTACACATACACCGAATGAATGACGTTTGGACCTCACTGTCAAGTTCGATAGGCCTCGTCAAGGTGCCATACTGCTAGCAGCATATAGATTTCGTTTGTTTTTAGTTCAAGGTCGCTCAACTCACGTGATTTCGTAGTTGATTCATCCACACTATTAAGCAAGCGTAGGTACGATGAACAAGGAAGCTGGTGGCATAGGGTCACTCATGCGGCGTGGACGATAGGAAGATAAGGTGTCCTTTTTACTTCTCGAGACACAGCGCGAATCATTGATAGTATGAATGGGCCCCCTTATAATACTTTTGAGAAGGCGGACAAACCATGTATAACTGTTCCATCCTTATTAATAATCATCTGTGTTGCGCTTTGTGGTTGCAAAATCTAATTGTTCGGCTACGGGTGGGCAACCGACGGCCTGATTTATCCGCAGTTAGTCAGGCTATAATGTCGCTCATCCTTCAGTCAAGGGATCCACACACACCTTGAGTGACAAGGTATACAGCGAATCCATTCGCCGTGTGAATTATTCTTCGTTCAGTATTAATTACAGTGTGTTAATAGTGAGATCACATATGGAATTCTTCGGTTCATCAAAAGTGATTAGGGCTAGAATTCTGTCCACAGATTGGCTTGACATACACGACGGCTTTTCACAACTCAACGAGCAGTACACGACTAATGCTGCGATTCCCCATATCAACGCTACATGCGCCCAGATAGCAGCCCTTTGATCTGAACGGATTTATGTTATTTGATCATTATAGTCATTTTAATATGTTATCAAACATTTAACAGTTAAGACTATCTCGGTGAATAGGATGTGGAAATTGTTAGAAACGGCCATGAAATTGACAATCGGAGTGATAGATTAATCAGTCGTACAAATCGGCAACCCATCATTCCGAATTTTTGACTGCCAGCTTATTCATTCCAACATTGGCTCTTGCACGCCCTTTCCAACGGAGATTTACTGAAAGTCAGCCGGATAGCTGGCTGAAACCAGAGAAGACAGAGTGGCACTGATATTCCAATAAAACGAAATCAATCAACAGGGTAATTTGCTATAATTTCAGGAGGACGGAACAAAACGCAACCGAACATTGTCCTTCGACTGATCCTGGTGGAAATTGTTTTCAAAAACTGAATACTCGTTCAGCTGTATCTGTCAAGTTCGATAGGCCTCGTCAAGGTGCCATACTGCTAGCAGCATATAGATTTCGTTTTTATCTAGTTCAAGGTCGCTCAACTCACGTGATTTCGTAGTTGATTCATCCACACTATTAAGCAAGCGTAGGTACGATGAACAAGGAAGCTGGTGGCATAGGGTCACTCATGCGGCGTGGACGATAGGAAGATAAGGTGTCCTTTTTACTTCTCGAGACACAGCGCGAATCATTGATAGTATGAATGGGCCCCCTTATAATACTTTTGAGAAGGCGGACAAACCATGTATAACTGTTCCATCCTTATTAATAATCATCTGTGTTGCGCTTTGTGGTTGCAAAATCTAATTGTTCGGCTACGGGTGGGCAACCGACGGCCTGATTTATCCGCAGTTAGTCAGGCTATAATGTCGCTCATCCTTCAGTCAAGGGATCCACACACACCTTGAGTGACAAGGTATACAGCGAATCCATTCGCCGTGTGAATTATTCTTCGTTCAGTATTAATTACAGTGTGTTAATAGTGAGATCACATATGGAATTCTTCGGTTCATCAAAAGTGATTAGGGCTAGAATTCTGTCCACAGATTGGCTTGACATACACGACGGCTTTTCACAACTCAACGAGCAGTACACGACTAATGCTGCGATTCCCCATATCAACGCTACATGCGCCCAGATAGCAGCCCTTTGATCTGAACGGATTTATGTTATTTGATCATTATAGTCATTTTAATATGTTATCAAACATTTAACAGTTAAGACTATCTCGGCCAATAGGATGTGGAAATTGTTAGAAACGGCCATGAAATTGACAATCGGAGTGATAGTGAATCAGTCGTACAAACCCACAACTCATCATTCCGAATTTTTGACTGCCAGCTTATTCATTCCAACATTGGCTCTTGCACGCCCTTTCCAACGGAGATTTACTGAAAGTCAGCCGGATAGCTGGCTGAAACCAGAGAAGACAGAGTGGCACTGATATTCCAATAAAACGAAATCAATCAACAGGGTAATTTGCTATAATTTCAGGAGGACGGAACAAAACGCAACCGAACATTGTCCTTCGACTGATCCTGGTGGAAATTGTTTTCAAAAACTGAATACTCGTTCAGCTGTATCTCATACGAACTTTCTTTTTATTTATGATTTGCTACAGCTCAGCGCCACGCAACTGAACGATATCCTCGCCAAAATGCGTTCAAAAAAAGTATAACCAATTGGTGTTTTATATGGATGCTTGTTACTCTGGCTCTATGTTCCACAATATTCTACCTTCAGATGCAGGAGGTAAGTAGCGTATTTTTTGGCCAGCACTCTTGGGGATCCTGTGAAATAGCATCCAGAATTTCTCCCACATATGGTAGAATACCGCACCGGCCAGCAGAACTAAACGAAGTAGAAAGGCATGGGTCATGTCTGTTCTCTTCTGATCTGGGTTGTAGACAGTCCTCAGCCATCTGCAAACAGCTTCTAGCCGGGTAGCAAACAGCATCCAACCTTTATCGAATAATGTCAACTCTGCCGCTGAACTAGTTTCAGCTGGTTAGAAGACGTCATTGCAAAATCGGTGCAAATCCTGTGATATTTGGGGTCCCTCTGCAGCATCCACCATTCACAGGTGTATACCGTATTTGCAAGTTATGAGCGGATCTAGGCTCGATTGCAATAAGTACATTTCCACGGATCAAACTACAGGTATATTATAAGTGTCGTTCTCGTCGTGGATGGTCTTTTCTGATGTGGGTTTTACGAGAGAAAAGATATTATATATCTACATGCGGATGAGATTTAGACGGCCTGAAGTGATTCCAAGAATTGATTATGATTGAAGCAAATTTGAGGACTGTGCCTTTCTTATTGACCCAAAAACGTGAAAAAATGAATTTTTGTCAGAATATTTTTTTTAGCGACCTCTGATTAGTGTGTTAGCTTCCGAATTCTTGTAGCGTCAAAATTTCTGTGAATCACAGTATCAGTTTGTGGATAATATAACCCACTATTTCATGCCTTCTTCATAGTGGTCCATTCGTTCTCTTGTCTAAACCACCCGAAATTTCAGTCTATGTGACAACCTCAGCCAACGAAAAAGAATTAAGCTGGGGTACTTTCCGTAGTGACCCGCGAATCCCTCCATGCCTTGCGACCGAATACTCCTATGCTTGGATTACGGATTCGGAATACGTGAGTTTTATCTAAACTGTTGCAAATAAGCCGCACATGACTATTCACCGCCATCACCCCTACACAACAATCACCGCCACTCCCACCGACATTGTCAGCGCCACCGCCAACGCCAACTTCGTTTTCAAACATGAAGCTTTTTGGAAATGCAGAAATCACGACCGACGACACCAAAATAATGAAACCATTAGTTGAATATCAAAACTTTCCCACTGAAGCTTTGATCTGGTTTACCTCAGACCTAGCAGAGAGATATGAAAAAGAATATCAAAAGTTTGAGTGCTATCATTATAACCCGCCCTCTAAGATGGAGATCGCCTGATTCCCACTGCCACTGGTTAAAGCCCTGCAAAGTTCGCCTTCCTGTCGATGTTAGTGGAGTTGTTGTCATTTCGGATTCAGATCGCCTGAGTGCGTGTCTGAGGCTGCATGTGCATCGGAGGTTGTGTTAGGTCAGGGTTAATTAAGTTCCCCATCCATTTGGATTCTCCTCTTTTGAATAGGACCTCAAATGAATTTTGATGCACGCACGAAGGCGTCAGTGTTGAAGACGGGTTTTGGTCTTAATGATGATGATGGCGCTAATAATGGTGATGAAGGTGATTGCTCTAGAGCGTCCAATCTTCAACATGTGTATGTGTATAGGGTCCTGGCACAGCGGACTGCTTTGTGATTCACCAGTACTACGCGTCATTTCGTACGTCGGTTGCTGATGCGAGGAGTAATTTGATCCGTGCCCAGTCCAAATTCTTATAAACCTTGAGGTGGACGGAGCTTGAAATGGCGGAAGGCAATCAAGGATTCTATGAAAAATTTGTGTTGTATGCGTATGATGTCCTGGAACACTGGAGTGATCACCTGTTTATCAGTGATATATATCGTCCCATAACCCGTTCCTCTTGACTTTAGTGGGTTCAATAGTTTTGCCTACACTGGATCCATGTTAACATTGCGTAAGCATATCCGTCTGCTTCACATAGCCTACCTTTGCCATTACTACTGACCCTCGCAAAGAAAGACCTGAAAAAGCGCACACTAAATCAACAGTACGAAGAGGCGAAAAGCAGGACAGAAAATAGTCACGTGATGAAATACGGTGAAACGGTGAGTCACAAACTCTAACGGAGCTATTCAGTTGAGTCACTTGTGAAAAGCCAGACTGTTATAGAAATGAGTGTATTTTTGACAGTATAATTTCGTTGCCTACGAAAAGTGACGTCAAAGGTCAAAAATAGCTGACTAGGGGCTTCAGGTTCCACAAACGAAGTTCAGCAAGGCAGCTAGTCCAGGCATCTAGATTTTCAGGCCTACGCCATGTCATCCTTTGGATAACCAGGCAGTGGCGTTGGGTACCTTGTGATCTATACCTTTCTGTACCATGATACAAAATGTACCCAAATTTGTATGAGTCGTCCACAAATAACCCAGGGGATAACATATTTAAATGATGATTGAAGCTCTCACCTGAAAATTTATCACTGGAGGAGCTAGTCAATATCTGGCCACGTGAACCGGTTTTTCGTGATTGAACGATCATTGAGGCTGTGTGGTGTCTAAGTAAACGGCAGCCACACTGCTGGCCAAGCTCTTGTGGTTGAGCGTTTAAGTAATCAATCATTGGACGGAAAATACCTGGTTCCTTCTTCGCTACTGGGGTGAGATTCGTTTTGCTGCATACTCTCAAGAAAGATAGGACATCTATACAATGCTTCTCGGTTTCCCAACACAGATTGGCTTCAACGACAGGATGGAATATCCAATCAATGTGAAAGTTCTGCGAGGCGGCGCGAAGCGAAAATGCACAATTACACAGGCGCTCGTTATGAGCACGACGAAGACTATTTTTGGGGCGATTCGCGTTTACATATAGAAATTTGCGACGTCTTTAGCGAACTGTCTAGCTGAGTTGAACGATTCAGTCACATATTCAGGCTCCAATTGTGGTTCCAAGACTTGCTCTGATAAAAAACCATGATGCAATGCTTTCGTTAATTTTGTATCCCATGATGTTGGAAAGCATGAATTGAACATTAAAATAATTTATGGGAGTTTTACTAGCTGACAGCCAACCATATCAAGGAAGCGCGCTGCTTCCTGAACTAGCGAATAGCTCCAAGCACACATTCGGAATGTACGTCAGCGAATCGTATACTGCGCACGTGTTACCTCAGCGTAGAACGACGGATGTATTTTAGACCTCTTACTCTTTGTATGGAACAAGACGCTTTCCAAGTTGATAATACGCTTATGAGCGTCTGTTTGTTGCTCATTTCAGAGGATAGGACGTCTCCCAGTTGAAATGTTCCAAGGTCATTATGATTTACTGACGCACCGGAATGATGTGGCTATACCTGTATGTGTTCAGTGCGATTTTTGATATTTTGAGTTGTCATTGAAACAGTCGTTACTTACGCCATTATATGATTACGGGAGCCAAGTGACCACCCCACGGTCCAACGCCAATCTAATAATTTGGGTTGCTTTGAAATCGATTGTGCCAATAACTCTAGTGATAGAAACGCTTTCCACCATCCGAGTCGCTATGACCACAGGCCTTCCTTTGATGCGAAGACCCCTATCTTCTCCCACAATCAACGAATTGGTCGGACCCTCTATTCCATATCCCAAATCGGTGTTACTGCTAGTGTCTTAAGGGATTTACCGTAGTTCATTTTTGTCCGTTTCACTTAGAAAAACGGGTACTTGGTCCATGATGCTACTTCCGGCTACCGGAGTGCCCGTCTATCTCGAATTTGAACTATGTATCACTCAGTCTGTTAGGTAAGTTAGGTAAGCTCCTCGAGTGGAATGACGTGTAAAAAAGTGCATACATATATACATACATGCATTCATACAGAATAAACAAACAGACACAAAGAAAGACAGCTTGATAGTTAGACTGATGTACAGATAGCAGGAGAAAGAGACATAATATTGGATAACTACGTAGGTAGGAAGATGGACGGGCAAAGAATAGATAGATAGATAGATAGATAGATAGATAGATAGATAGATAGATAGATAGATAGATAGATAGATAGATAGATAGATAGATAGATAGATAGATAGATAGATAGATAGATAGATAGATAGATAGATAGATAGATAGATAGATAGATAGATAGATAGATAGATAGATAGATAGATAGATAGATAGATAGATAGATAGATAGATAGATAGATAGATAGATAGATAGATAGATAGATAGATAGATAGATAGATAGATAGATAGATAGATAGATAGATAGATAGATAGATAGATAGATAGATAGATAGATAGATAGATAGATAGATAGATAGATAGATAGATAGATAGATAGATAGATAGATAGATAGATAGATAGATAGATAGATAGATAGATAGATAGTTAGATAGACAGATGGATAAATGAACAGGACGATTTTTCCTCAATAGTGAGTAGTCCAGGAAGACCTTTCTCGCAGTCAGCATTGACAGAGCTTCTTTTAACCGCAGATGTGGCTCAATTGTTTTCCTCGTTCTAGTCCAATGTTGTAGAAAGACAACTCTCATCTCGGACACGTTTGTTTTCACTGTGTCGACGCCTGATGGAAGCCACAATTAAGGAAGAACACGAATTCGCTTCGCGAAATCTGCACCGTGCACTTCAGGTTTGTAACATTTTTCTTTGAAGCTAGCTAAAAATTAAGCGTGGTCCATTTAGTTGGTCGGGGAATCTTTTACGGTCTATCGGTAATCACCAAACTATTCCTGTGGCTTTTCCCGCTTGGTAACGTCGTCAAGGAGACGCTCCACGACATTGTCATGGATGTGACAACCCGCCAGAGGCCATTGGTAAATGACTTGTTCAAGACGGATGAGCTCATATGTTACGAGGCCGTATACGATCACTTCGAGACTCACTGCTTCAAGATTCAACAAGTGGGTTGACCCTTTGTTGCACACAAACCAGTGTTCAAACATGTTGCCAATTCATTCATCCTTGGCGTCACCTAAGACGAGCAGCAGTCCGAAAGAACTCCAAGTTAAACGTCCGGTAAACGACCTTTACGGTAGGAAATTTCTGGGCAACTCTGGTACTTACATCACCGGACCCTCGTTCCTTCCCTAAAATTGATCGTTCGTTCCCAACCATGGTGTTCAACAGTTTATGGGATGGTTTTCGGAAGGAGTTTTGCTCTATGCCCCTTATCGCCAGGTGAATCATAGAAAATGGAGGGTGATTTGGATTAATCGGAATATTGAACAATCCAAAGTTCTCTGGTAAAATGTCGTCCTATTACATCATATAAACAGGTGATCACATCAAGAATAAAAACAGCCTAAAGAAGTTGTTTGAGTGCATTTCACTTCAGTTCAGTTCTGTTGTGTTCATTTCATTTCAGTTCAGTTGATTCAGGTTCAGTTCAATACAGTCCAGTATATTTTAGATATGTTCAGTTTGGTTCGGTTGAGTTCATTTCGGTTCGGCTCGGCTACATTAAATGCAGACGAGTCGAGTTCAGTTCAGTTGTGCTAATTTTATTTTATTTCAGTTCAGTCTAATTAATTTCTCACCATTTCAGTTCAGTTGAGTTCAGTTCATTTCACTTGACAACGGATAATTTCAGTCCAGTTCAGTTTGTTGCAATTCAATCCAGTTTCGTTTTGTTCGATTCAGCTCAGTTCATTTCAGTTCAGTTCAGTTCAGTTCAGTTCGCATCAGTTAAGTTCAGTTTAAACCAATCCAGACCTGTCACATTTACTTCAGTTCACTTCCCGACAGTTTAGTTAGGCCGACTTCAATTCATTTCAGTTCAGTTCAGTTCAGTTCAGTTCAGCACAGCTCAGCTCACTTTAGTCCATTTCAGATCAGTTCATTTCAGTCCAATTTAGTTCAATTTAATTCATTTGAGTTCAGTTACGTTCGGTACAGTTCATTTATTTCGTTCCAGCTAATTTCACTCGCTCTAATATCATTCCAGTTCTGTTCAAGCCCTTCAATTTCATTCTAGTTCATTTCATTTGAGTTCATTTCCCTTCAGTTTACTTCAGTTCACTTCAGTTCAGTTTAGTTTATTTCATTTCATTCAAGTAAAGTTAAGTTCAGTTCAATTCTTTTCAGTTCACTTCAGTGGCTCAGTTCAACCGGCTGGCCCCTTTACTTTTGCTGGAACGAGTGTACCCCTAGACGTGCTAATCCGACTACCGCGCTATTGCGATTGATTAGTTTTGTGAATAGACATTTGGCAAGCGTATCGAAGGTTCCATGTGCTCAACGCTGTTAAGGAGTGTTGTGAAGCGCTTTTGGGAAGTAATTCAAATAGAACATTTTCGTGGGGTTCACACTTTTTCACTTTTCTGCCACGTTTCGAAGGTTCGCTCAACGCTGTTAAGGAGTGTTGTGAAGCGCTTTTGGGAAGTAATTCAAATAGAACATTTTCGTGGGGTTCACACTTTTTCACTTTTCTGCCACGTTGCTGAAGACTTTCACGTGTCCTCTTCTTGGGGTGAAGACGTTTCAAAATGCCCGAAGTTCACATATACTGATACTCGCCCACACCTCTCACAAGTACTTTTTTCTAATTTCGGACGCATCAACCGCTCAGCCTTCAGTGTGCATTCTTGGAAATCTTTCCCACTCTTAACATAGTTGGCAATTTTCTCAAAAATGCTTAATTATGATGGTGTAGGTTAGGGCAAATATTGTGGAAACTTACTTTCCTGTTACTTTGATAGCATTCTTAGGCCATTTGATCCGTGCCCAGTCCAAATTCCTGTTACTTTGATAGCATTCTTAGGCATTGGTCCAAACCGGTGTTGGACGTTTATGATCTCGGGTTCGTCGTGTGCGTGGTGAATATTTTGTTTGCACACCTGAGCTGGTTTCCTAGCTGAGCTCATGATATCTCTTTGTTTTCAGTTCCCAGAGGTAGCTGAGCACACAGCTCATCTAATGGAGATGTGCAAATCCGGATACGAGGCCCACACCCTCACCGAGTCTGTCCACAGCGTCTGCTCCTAACAGACACGCACTATGTTGTGTGATTCTGCCAAAATAAAATGAACTGCAACTGTTCCGTATCATGTACCTCTACCGTTGAAAGACATGGGGCGCATTTTTTTCACCAAACTGGCGGTCAACAAATCGCCCGGCATACACCGTTGGAATTCAGATAAAATCGTCCGGATTCTCAGGTCTTCATTATCAAGACGCTTCCACCAATTTTGCAGCACACATGAGCTAGCTACAAACTCAGCCAACTCCATCAGTAATATCGTGTTGTGAAAAAATTATGGTGACTTGATATACACCCGAACGAACGATTTATACTGGCCAAAGCCATTAACGAAGGCCGTACTGAATATCCGCTGATGACGATAATCTTTGTAGCCATGGAAGTCTGAAACGAACGATGTTAAATCAAATTCACAATTGACACGAATTTTTGAATTTCATGAAAAAAATTATGGTGACCTGATATTAACCCAAACGAACGATTTATACTGGCTAAAGCCATTTACGAAGGCCGTACTGAATATCCGCTGATGACGATAATCTTTGTAGCCATGGAAGTCTGAAACGAACGATGTTAAATCAAATTCACAATTGACACGAATTTTTGAATTTCTGTACCACTTTTGAGCAAACACAGAAATTCTTTGGAACATCTCCAATGACCTTCTCGAAACAGGAGAGAAGATTGGGTGGCTTGTGCAGCCGTTTCAGTCAACCAAAGTTGCAGTACTGCTTCTTCTACATTCATTCATTAACTCTTCCACCTTTGCAAATTATCGCGGCGCTGCCTAATGACCATGCATCTTGTGATGCACCGCTAACGGCTATCCTCCTGGATGAAGAATATGACGATACCTCCAATGTCTGACTGGTTTATCGGAGTAACCCATTAGGGCCTGCAGAGACAACCAAAATATTAATCTTTCCCGAACTTGGAGAATTCGGAAAATGTACCAAAGTACATAGGGATATTTAGAAATCACGGGTGAGAACCCCTGTACATTGGCCAATCCCGCTAGTTCCGTTGCCAGAAAATTAACACCATACAATTACAGAGTTCCCACGTCGGCAATCTGCAGAGCACAGTACCGATCATATAAGTCAACGTTGGCCGTGGTCACGGAATCCAACCAAATCGTGAACCAACATGATATTCCAAAAATCAATGGTTGTTGTTCTGTTTAGGAAACTTGTCAGTTTGACTTCAAACGGTCCATCGCCAATCGGAGTGACATCGTGAATGCTCTGCTCAGCCGAAGCTGGCAATGTCAATGGCAAGTTCTGGTTTTTTGTTAACGACCGGTATGCGAACGCCTTAACAATTCAAGACGGTCGGGAATCAGAAAGAGCAAGCACGACTCGGCTTCCGAATCGACAGGATATATCGGAGAGATGCCGAAATGCTCAGCAGCCGGGGCCGACCCAACGAAAGTAACTAGAAATCGCTGATATGCAAGCGATAATTAAAGGAGGAACGTTTGTAAAGGTGGATACAACTGATGGGAAAATGGGGATAGCATGTGGTTATCTTACAACTCTGTCTTGATCTGATAGAAGTAGGTTTATCTCAAAGGTTGTTGAAATGCTCTGCGGCAGTAGCTTACAGCTGCGTGATAATCAGTGACACTACAGGGAAGTTCGAGAGGACGCGTTCAATAAGAAAATGGATATTCTGTTATCCACAAATAACGTGCACGAGGGAGTTTTAGTTTCCTGTCCCATTATCCGTAATCGTGTCGCTAGATCCTGCGGCAGCGAGAGCCAATCAAATAGATGACCAGCCAAACGGTTGAGCGCCGAAACCACTGGCCGGGTCATCATGGGATTGAGTCGAAACCGCCTGGAGTTCGTGAGATGCACATCGGTGGTGGTTCGCAGCAAATATGAAACTGCTTGACAGTGATTCTCAAATATTGGGCATAGAATAAGAAACATCCAACAAAGATTCCAAATATTTCTCATCATATCAGCCATTATGAGACGCCATCCACCCTAGTGTAGTTGTCCGAAATTGGTTAGTGTATAACAGTGAATAGACAAAGTGCATAACATTTGATAAAAATCACTTTCATAAAGCATAAGTCCTGTCGCACGAAATGTTGACTTCAGAGCAGACTTTCGATTATACACGTGTTCTGGATTTCCGACAAGCTACCCAAAAACCTGCAAGTGATAGGGTGAATGCCTGTGAGCCGGTAACACAATAGTCTCATTTAGATTGCGTCGAAATAACCAGTTTTGAATCGTGGTGCAATGCTCTTGAAACCGACCGAATACCACCACGTAACAAGCGACTAAATCCGCCCATGGATATCCGTGTGCCTTTTGTGAATGATGGGTTATTTTGTTCTGGAGGAAAATGTCGACAGCTACTGCCGATCCACACATCTACCATCGTGACGTCCCTCAGTGAGTGATTTACTGGAGCCGTTTGAAATATAGTGGTCTGGTTACCCAGTAATTCACTTTAGCTCGAGTATGTGCCAAAGGAGTAAAAATAACAACGCTAGATTTAGTATACATTTACAAAGGTGTAAGACAAAACAGACTGTCTAAAAATAGTGTTCCCTTTAAAATACTCCGTCGTTTGCTCAGGTGACAACAATTCAATCATAATTGTCCAGGGCCATCTTCCGAACAGTTCCCACACACAATTGATTCCGGGACTGGTCTGACCTTTTTTGATGCCATAGTCAGCATGCGAGACCACATCACAAGCATTCTTTCAGACAAACTGGAGAGATACTGACAACGAGAACGCGAGTGACATCAATTAGCAGCCATATCCGGCAGCGTCTCCAACTTGAGTTATTTTCAAAAAGACGATTTTGGGGATTTGCCCTGGTTGCGAAAGATCTCAGGGCTTCGAATAAATAATGACCAGTTGCGAAATTTACACAAATGTTTCCTGCGTACACAATAGGTTTAAATGAAATTTTGTGTACCTACGGGTTGACTGTGCCCACCACTCACCCAGGTGAAGTTCCTTCGTGTAATTTCCGCCACCTTTCTGAAAGCAGATTCCGAAAACCTGGATGTGCATCTACAAGTCGGTCGTGAAAATAGATTACCTAACTGATGAGTTCCTCGGAGTTTTCATATGGTTGGCTCGTCTGGGGTTGCACGTGAGTCAAAACTAAACCCGATAACACCCAAAACATGTCATTGAGGATTTAGGCGAGACTTTGTCATCGAATGCAATGTATTTTGACTTTAACGATTATCATTAGTTAACCAAGTTCCGCTGAAGATGTGCTCTTGGTAACCAATATCGGTCGGTTATTTTTGGAGAACATCACGTTGCAATGCGGCAGCGCTATAGACGCAAGCTTACAAGTGAAATCTTACCGTGTTATTTGTGCAGCAGATTAATCCACGTCGCAACATCTGACGGCATCCATTATCTCCTACCCCATATTTTATTCAACATTTCTTTCGACAGACTCACCTGGAACCCAGGTAAATCCCTCGTTTATCATTTTCTCAGGCAACTGAATTGGCTGCCCCAGGCAGCCTCATGTTTCAGTCGCTACGATATTTGAAATATCGAGATACATGTATATATTTTTAATGTACTACTCATAGGGTTGCTGAAAATCCATCGACAGCCCACGATCGGTTTCGCCCTTCTTGGGGCTCATCAGGTGGGCACAGTCCCCGGGTTTCCGCCAACCTTATGTTCTACTTGAAAACAAATTGCCCGAAATCAAATATCATAGCGACTGAAAAATGAGGCGGCCTGGTGCAGCCCATTCATTTGCCTGAGAACATCATAAACGAGATATTCAGCTGGTTTCCAGGGGAGTCTCTCGAAAGAACCAAATTAGTTTGCAAATTAGTGTATATTAGAAATCTTACCTTGTTATGTGTGCAGCAGATTACTCCACGTCGCAACATGTGACGTCATCCTTTATCTCCTGCTCAATACTTTACTCAGTGGTTCCACGGTTAAACGGCAAATTTCACTGACTTGATTAAATTCGGTGATAACGTGAATCACGAAGCTTTGTGACCAGGGACATGATTTGTTTGGTGATAGGACTTGTTCCAACCAAAGTCCAAATTTATTTTACCAGCAAGCCCATCCACCTAAAGGTCATCTTTGCCTCAGTCCTCCATCTATTTAGAAACCTAAACCACATATGCAATCAATTATTGATTTATTTACATGCTTTGTCAGAAGATACTGTGTTGTGTTACGTGAAGTACCATGAGGGTGAACACCAATCAGGATAAGGGAGATTTTATACGATTCATTGGAAGCTGTCCTTCTCACAGACAAACGTGTTTGTCCGGACACAGCAGTAACGTTTTGGTTCCACATTTCACCTCTTTCAGGATTACGCCATCCTCATTTATATATTCTATACGAGTTTCGCTGTTTACTGAAGCTCGACAGCCATATGTTTGTGCGAAGAACAAGAAAGAGGTGAAGTATTCGGAACACCAACACAGACGTCGAGTGTCAGGTGCTTCCCTCAACGTGCTCGCTGATGAATACATCTGAAGAACGTCATAAACACCCACAGACACCACTGCACAGATTTGCGAAGGCTGAAATTTTTAACTCGTCCAAGTGACGTGTATGAACGCTCAGCGCCTCAGCAATCCACAAACACCTAGCTAGAATTTCCGAGAGCCAGTCTATAGCGCCGAGTCGGGAGCGCCTACCATCAGGAGGGGTAAAACCTGCTAATTGTCAAAAACCAAGCGATTTTCTTGGTCGTAATATGTGTGCTATTGCCCGGTTTCATGAATTGTGGACATTATCAGCTGAAAACAGGTTTATTGGCAAATGTTTTCGGTACTACATACAGTTGCATAATTACACCTTTGAAATGGTTATCGAACCTGTCAACATTAGGCCACATTTAGAACCAGTTTATTGACCTGGATTTTCCTTTTGTCTGTGCAATCCACGGTCATTGGATTGTGTTCTGAGGCTAACATGAATGCGACCAAACTTAGTTATTCCACTAAAGCCACAGCAAAAAACTGGTCAATAAATTCAAGAAGTTCACCCGATCTACTGTTGACACTCACCGGTCAGGATTAAAAATTAGTTCCGTGTTTACTCAGTGTCTCCAGGTCAAACATATGTGACACTTGCACCCCAGGCCTGCGAATGAGCAGATAACTGATCGTCCACGACCCCTTTCGGGGAACCGTATTCCACATAAGTTCTTTCCTACCGAAAGTCATGGCGTGTCGTTCAAATGGAACAGGCCTAACAAACAACTCTGAGAAATGAGGAAAAATGTTGCAAGAGTTGTCGATTGTCCACTGAATGACTGTCAACCAATGTGTTCAGCCTTGACCATTGAGTTAACTTGAGTTCCTCAGGTAACTTGAACTTTCGAAAGCAGTCCTTCACGGGCGAGATGAACTTTACCATGTTCCAAAGCTTAAGTTTTCTAGTTGAAATATTATTACAACTGCAATCCCACAAGAATTATCGATATTTTTCCCATGTTCTCTTTGTGTAGAATGGCAGTGCGTATCACTTCATTATGCTTTGTGCCCATGTCTAATAGGCTCGTGATCTGAACGTTAACTAACACCTGACACTCAGCGAACGGCCACACACAACCAATCTGCTGCTTCTCCATCATCACCATCATCACCGTCATCGTCATCATCATCCGCATCCTCCTCCTCGTCCTCATCGTCATCATCAAAGTTTTCATCACGATCGGCAAAATACTGATATCAGTGTTATGCACTGATGCCCTCCTGGGGTACAGGCATGATTTGTTTGAACGTGTAGCTGTTGAAAATGCAATAAATGAAGCCGATGAAAGGTCTTTGGGCTGGCTTATTACAGTCAGGTGCCTGCATCTCCATGCATTCATTCAGGCAAACTGGAAATAGAAGGACAACATGAACGCGAGAGACATCAACTAACCATCATATCCGGCAGCGTCTCCAACAAAACTGATTGTGAAGAAATGGAAAAAATATACAGTGAGCGGTCTATTACTAGCTCACTTCAGCCATTCTCAAGTACCTAAATCTGCAAGCACTTATTCAAGCAAACTGGAGAGAGAAAAAACATTACATGAAAGCCAATAACACCGAATAAATCCATGTCCAGTATTATCTCCAAATTTTTTGTTAAAAAAAACTAAAAATTCTGCGATGGATGGGAAAACATTTCGGTCTCCGAATGAATAATGCCATCTTCTAAAAAGAATTCTAACAAACGTTTTCTCTGTTCAGTCTAGTGTTTCATGAAAATGTGTTTGTGTATCTAAGGGTACGGAGTTGTTACCACTCGGACAGATGATGGGTTCCTCTGTGTTGTTCATCTGTGTAATTCCTTCTGATAGAGACACTAAATTTATTCCAGAAATCCCTGCACCTGGACGTAGATTTATACTTCTTCGAATGTGACAAGAGCATGGGTGAGTGTTGCGTTGGGTGAAGATTGCTACAAGCTACCTACCATGTTTTACTAGATGAATATCGGGATCGATTTGGGTATTCGGCCTTCGACGTCACCTGGCTTAAACTAGATGGTTTCAAAATTTCCAGATCCATATATGCGATTGCAACGGGACAAGTTATCACATTGCTATTTATGTACCGAATGATTTCATGTGGCTTTGGTCAAGGACCCGGATTTTAGGCTGCGAAAATCGGCTGTGATCTGCCACAGTATATCAGGCATTATAATGTGGTTGGCTAGTCTTCGGAAACACATAACTCCACGCTTAGCCTGTTGCCACCGTAATTGTGTCAACAAAGATTTTGTCGCTGAGTCTTGGTATATAATGTCCTAATTTTCTAATTTATCATCCGTCCTCCAAACTGCGCGTAAATTTGCTCTTGCAATTGCTTTTGCTGGAAAAACTAAAGTTGCAAGGCGGGACCTGAAAAAATACAAGCTTACTTGTGAAACGACAATGCTATTTTTCCGAGCATCAGACTAGCCTTAGAATGGCCTGTGCAGGTAACTCTGATTAGCACCATCCGAAGGCATTGGACGTCTGCTGCCCAATACATCATACAGCGGTTCGAAATTTTAAAGGTATGGAAAGTCACTAGGGAAAACGTTTTTGGTAACAACACTTGTTTCAACCAAGGTCCACAGTTCAGCTACGTAAACGTGACTTCAGCACCATTCCGCCACTTCGAAAAAGCAAGATTGGAGAGATTTATCGCTCAACCATCTGCC